GATGCAGCTGCGAGCGTTGTTAGCTGACAAACAACGCGAGCTGGAGGCGCTGCTCAACAAGGAGGTGAGGAGAAACAGTCTATCGTCAATAAAATCTGTTGCACGAATAAACTCGCCCAATGCATGTATAAAATATGCTAAAGCTATTAATGTTTGTGTAAAAATACAATAGATTACAGTTATGTAATAAATACAAAATGAGATAATACGAAGAATAATTTATGATCTAATTCCAGAAGGTCCTTTGTGTGGGAACGGAGCCACAGAATAAACCGGATTCTCGAGCGATGTCGGTTGTTAACCAATCTTATAATAGGTAATTGTTTATTTTTAATCTTTGTGTGTGTGTAATAGAAAAGTTATATGTACAGTGTTGATCAAAAATTTTATATTTTTAGTGAACAAGAAGAACCGGAATCGAGATCAGAACAACTGCCACTGGATTCACAAACCTCCAGGGAAAATGAGAATTACCGGGTAAAACTTTTTAACTTAACTTACATTTGAACAATTTCTTAATTATACAAGTATGATAAAAAATGTTTTACTCATAATTATGAGAACTAGACTTGATATATAGTGGTATCAATTGGATTAAAGTTTGGTTTATGCACTCTACTGATATATTTGAATTTCTTCAATTAGTTAAATTTTATGTTAAAGGGCGGTGGAGATAGCGCGATAGGCAGCAGATCCATTAACATAGTACCATCTCGTTTGGAGAGTGCCTATGGCAGCGATACTGACAGGTATTTCATATTATTTACATTATATAGATATATACTTTTATATTGTTGTTTGTATTATAAACTTGCAGTCGTCTGCGTGTTATAAAAAAAAGGGTTTTGACAGACGGATGGACTACAAAGTGATCCTATAAGGGTTCCATTTTTTCCTATGAGGTACGGAACCCTAAAAAAACTTCATTAGTATATTATGTGTTCTTCCAGATTATGTTCAAGATCTATAGCAAATTTCAAAGTGATCCGTTGAGCCGTTCCCTAGGTAGTTGCAAACACATTCATCCATCCATCTAAACATTCGCATTAATAATATTGGTAAGATATAATATGAGAAGGATTAGTAACATAAGATAATCTTTGTTGACAGTGCCTCAAGGAACAAATCAAATCAGAGGAATAGACCACGACGTCGACAGACTCAAGATCGTCAGTCTGAAGATAATGTAAGTGTTCACAAATGTGAAATTTATTTAATATTTAAATTTTTTATATAATTTATTTATATTAAAATGCATATTTAAATTATGTTTCAGACACCGCAGATCAATAATGCTACACCCAATGTTCGCCATGAGCCGAGACCTGAAGCATCCAACGTCAATATGGTGTCACCCGTCGCGCCAAATGGTATGAAACAAATTGCTTTTATACTAACACTTGTAAAGTTTTATTTGAAAAGTCTTGGAGTGAGTCCTAGACTGAATTATTTAATTATTTTTTAGGTGACAATCCCACCAACATGCCGTATGGACCAATACCTCCACAATGCTGGAATGGAACTAAAACTAACCAGGTAAATTATATACAACTCTTGTTATTTATTAAAGTTTTATGTACATATAAGATCATTTACCCAATTACTGTAGTAAGTGTGTTTGTTGTTTAATGTTTTTAATATGGTAATAAGTATAAGACTCTTCAAATATCTTGTCGGCTCAAGGTCATTTCTGGGTTGCACAGTGCCCTCTCATAAATCTTTTTACACACTACTACACAGTACATTGCGTTCTGTTTAACGACTTGAATAATGTTCCGACCCGACAAGATATTTAACAACTGGTATATTTTTTTAGTAAATATTGAAATATAATTATGAATGTATAGGACTCGCGCACGAATCAGTTCACACAGAATAGCCACTCGCAGACAATGGAGCGCTTGCTGGGCACGCCGCAGATGTCCTTCCCTCCAGCGATGCCCTACAGCATGATGATGCCCTATGGTGACCAATTAATTATAGCTTTTGTCCTTCTTATTTTAGTTTTACAAAAAATACTATTGTCCATCCAACAGCTAAGAATATTCATATGACAAAATTTGATTATCGTAAAATCACGAGAAAAGAGCTTTTTGGATTAATTTTATGTCAAGACAAAGAAATAATTTTGAACTTGTAGAGAAGTTTACTAAATACTGGCGGAGGCACGCGGCTTCGTCAGCGCAGGATAATAAAAATCTAGCCTGTAATAGGCCCGCGTGCATCCGCTACCTTTGCGTCAAAATCGGAGCAGCTGTTTTGGAGATTACCCGTACCAAAAGCAGACAAATATTAAAAATTTGCTTTTAGCTATCTCGCAACCTCTATATGACACAGACACCAATCCAATTTTATTACTATGTATATGTTATTCATGTAATTATAATGTGTTTCTCACAATGATTCAGGTATGGTGGGCGGGTGCGGCTGCGGCTGCGGGCTGTGGGGCGCGTGGTGCTGGCAGCAGCTCGTCATGCAGCAGAGAGAGATACACCAGCTTAGGGAACAACTTAATCATGTTAGTGCATTATATCACTTGAATCGTTGCATTTATACACTATTTAATGTCATTACGATTTTTTTTTGCATGATAGTTACTTTGGATGTGTTAATAACTTTGGTTTTTTAAAGTTCTTTGAAGTAAAAACGAAATCGTTTGGTTGTATACAGCTGGAGGAACGTTGGCGAGCCGAGACAGCGTCGCACACTCTCAACAACCAAGTGCCCCCCGGCAACCGCGCCAATAACTATTGGGACAACTTCCGGAGGTAACCACATTCCAAGTACCTACTTGTTTAGTTCATTTACTACTTTGTCAAATTATCATAATATATCCTTTTCTATTTCAGATATTAGAAAATCTATTTATGTCTTTATAATTTATATATTTTATATTTAAGTATTTATCACTGCAGACAACATTATATATTATTCGGTGAGCGTTGTGTGAGTGTGTCCCTGCCCTTAGCTTTATAATTATTTTTAAATGATATCACAATGTTGCTATTTGATCAAGAAATATACACAGTTGTGATTTACACTAAAACATGTGCTAATAATTTATTTTTTAATTTTTCATACTTACATAGAAGTGTTAACGAATCTAATTATTGTTTACAGTTATTCACGTCAAAACCTCCTCTCAGCTAACAGCAAAACCAATGCGGACGGTCACTTAGGTACAGGCTCAGCTCACAACCCACATCCCCTGGTGGAGAGATCTCACAATACACTACATCACACATCCTCCTCCACATCACCTTCTATAACACCCAAGAGAAACACAAACACGGCGAGTTCCTCACAAGGCCCCGTCGCCGCACCCGCAGCTCAAGTAAACAACGACGAAGCATCTAACAGACATTCACGTAGAAATGTTACTTACGAAAGATCTCTCTCGTTTTCATCCGCTCCTGATGTACTGAATGTGAATCAAAACAGTGAAGCCGAAGCGAGCGCACCTTCCCATTCCAGGAATGTAGACGAAGCTACTGCCTCCAATCTGAACATCAACCGACAGGAAACCGCGACCACATTCAGGAACCTAAACATCACAAATCCCATACCAGAAATAATACAATCGCATTCGAACAACTTGAACAATTCTACAAACGCCAAGAAGAAGTCCTCATCGAAGCTACCTTCGAAGAATTCTACGAACAGAAGGAACTGCACCTTAGATTTCTCTCAAACAAGTAACATCAACATAACGAGTACTACGGACACACCGAATCCTAATTTGGCGTCAACCAGTCGCGAGGTACAAGAAAAAGCTACGTCCAAACTATTTGACCTTTTGAGAGAAAATGTATATTCCGAAGTAACCACTTTGATCGGAGTCAATGAATCTCATCCCGACTTTTTGATACAACTATTCAGAGAACTGCAACTGATAAGTTCCGATCCATTGAGACAAAAAGTTTTACAATCTATACGGAATGTTTTGGCGCAGTACAGTTCACTTATGGAGAGTGAAAACAATGACCGTGTCGAAGGCTCAGAATCTGAGGTGGTTACAACATCTGGAGACACGGGTAATTACCATGAATGTAGCTCCCACTCTATTGACAACGCTTGCGCGAATACGATGCAGATTGACAACAAAATCGTTCGATTCTTGCTCATGAAAAGCGAGGAGATATGCACTCCTGAGCTATTAGAAGCATTGTCGTCGCTTATACTTACCAGTGCGCCGGATAGTAAACAATCGAAGAAAAGACTACAAGAACTATTATCAAAGTACGAGGGCATGAGAGTTTGCGATATATCAAGCGACATTATTGAGAATTTATCGCTGTTTATTTCCGGTAGCAGCGACGGCGATGAATCCGCGCACCTCACAAGCGAAATCTCGGAAACATCTATACTTCAAGATGTAGCAGGTTCATTGAACTTGTTTAGCTCCAGCGAGACCCAACTGCACCAACTGAATGGGTGTCCATATGAGATGTGGCCTGGACACGTTCACATGGATATCGACGGAGCGGATCTAAATGATAACGGCGCTCGTTGTAGCCAAGAGGATAAGGTTGATCTCATTAATTGTTCGGAAATGCACAATGGTGATTTAGCGGAGGCGGATCAGACCTGCCACGCGGACATGGGAGACAGCGGCGTGAACAGCCACGACGAGGTGTCCAACAACGCGGAAGGCCTCCCCGATGTGGTGGACACTGACGAAGTCACTCCCACAGAGGTAATGCAACATGTTCTCTACTGTAGATGTCTACCCCTTATTAATTGTGCTAACAGAAATACGTAGAATTTATGTCTTTATAATTTAACTTTACACTATCAAGAAAAACATATTAAATGTCATGTACTGATTACTCTTTTGTTATATTTGTACTCAAATTTTCTTGCCAACATGTAATCTTTAGATATAAATAAAAGTGCATAAAACGAAAGTATGAAATGATTTTTTTCTTTACACTCCAGTGATGTCTCTTAATCTCACATTATTACTCAATAATAAGTAAGGTTTAAAAATAAAAATACAGTTTAATTTACAAATCTTTTATTCCTCATCTCTGGCTACAGTTGCATCACATCACGACTAAATTTCAATAATTTTACACAGTTAAACAGTTTCATTTGTTTGCTATCAGTTAATATCAAAAGCAAATTTAAATATCCAAAACAGAATATAAAATTGTGATATGTTTATATTAAAGGCAGAGGCAGAGTGGCTCGGGCTTGACCGTGTGCCAACACGGCTGCACATGGAAGATACATCTGAAAAGCAAAAAGGTGATATTAATATATAGTCAAATAATCACTAAACACCTAAACATGGAGCTGTTTGAGCTCCAATATCGTTTAGGTGGAGCCTGAAAGAAACTATATTTTATTAGATCTTCATCAGCATCTGTAACAAAAAATAAAATGGACAGAAATTAATTACAGTTTTTCTTTCTTACAGATTAAAAAACTAAGAAGTTTCAGGAATTGCTGGCATATTTTATAATGAAAATTTAATGTTTTTCTTATTATCTCTTAAACTGTACATCTTGTATTTGTTCACGTAATATTTATTTTACTACAATAAACATTACATATGTCCAATACATTGTATTTTATTACTATAATAAAAATAAAAAGCTTCCCCTCTCCTATGTATTCTTTATTTTAAATCACTAAAGAACTTTATATTAACAAAAACATAGTAAAATTTCAATTTTGATATCATCCTTTTAGTCTTATCACACTTTATCACTAATATTAGTCACAGACATAACAAAGATGAAACATATGTCCACCATGCAGGTTCCAATAAAGGTTTTCCAGTAAATCTTCATTGCTTGAATTAATTCTTGGATTCTCAGTTGTCTCAGGTTCAATATTTTTCTTTGTTTGTACTTCTGCAGATAAAATGGACATTGCTGAATTAATTTTTTTTTGTCATTTTTCTGAGAATTGAATATTTTTTAAATCATATGGACCATGAGACAACGAGAAATATCTGGATTGTTGTGAGTTGGTCGTAGTAATCGCGGATTGTGGGTGGAGGTCGTTGGCACCATACCCTCTGAAATAAAGTCAAATTTCATCACTCTATGTCTCAAGTGCCAAAAGTGGGAAGTCTCAGATTAAGTTGTGTTGCCATTTCAAATTCCTCCAATAGAAGCACTCAATTCTATTCAAAAACAATCCAATACTGTTACTTTGCCACTTTTTTGCATTCTATCAACATACAGAACTCTAACTTTACATTAATACAAGTTTTGATTTTACTGTAACTCTGAAGTAACATAATTTTTGTAACTTTCGTACTTTACCTATCACAAACACTATTATATCAAAGGACTTGAGGAATCACAACATTACAATCCAGATACATATACAAATTAAAATACCTTAAAATTGATTTATTTTTCACTTCCACCAATTGTATGTTGAAAGAATGGTCTATAGCAGTGGGAAATGAATAATTTTATGAGTTATGTAGAAACAAAAGCACTACATTTTTTAATTCAAAAAATTAATACAGCTATACTATAGTTATGTTTCCACATCACCCATAGGTCAGATTTATAATACATTTTTTGTGCTTTATAACAATTGCCTATAAAAATAAATAGCAGATTAACTAGGTTTCTTACATACTTAATACTATGTTTCTTATTAAAGGTATAAAGTAATGCTGTTAACTTTTTCCTATTATACAAAATTGAAAATAATATTACAATGTAGGAACATGTTTGCACTCTATCAAATAATGTTGTTCCCTACTAAATAGTACAAAGTTGAAAAAAAAAAATATATATATATATTGTTATGTGTCATGTTCTTACAAAGTTTTGTGTGTTTTTACCCTATTAGAATGGGTAGTTATCCAATAATTAAACATATTGTAATATCTTTAATGCTTTAAAAATATAATCATGTGTTTTTGTAATTTGGTTAATTAAAGTTATAGTTCATCTTACTGTAGAATTAAATCTGATGTAACAGTTAAAAAAAATCAAAATAATGTAGTATTCATGTTATATTTTATATATTGGAACTTTGTGTCACTGCACAGTTGAAAAATACAATAGCATTTTACATTTTATAAATATTTCCAAAAATTTTCCTATGTTTAGATTAATCTTACCCCAGCATTAAATTATAAAATCTTTATTTATCACTATAACATTTATGCACATGACTTACCTTGCATTGACATACTTATGTACACCACACTTATTAAATATTTGTTATTGTAAATATAATATTCAAAAACAAAACATAAATACTTGTCTCAAAAAATTATGGGTACAAAAGTTTTAAATTATTTTTAGATACAAATATTCTTGTAAAACTAAAATTCTTGTAACCACTTAGATGATTTTATGCGCATGCATAAAAGTTCCAAGCTATATGCATCAATAGAAAACACTTATTTACTTTATCATATTAATGTTTGCCCAAAAATAATTTTCAATGCAACAGGTTTATCAAGTGCATTCACACCATATATTTTATGATACTTATAAGATCAACAAGGTAATTTGAAATTGCAACATAACTTCAAACTATTTACATTTCATATTTCATAGTCATTACAAAGTATTAGACTTCCCACATACAGTGACTACACTATATCCCTGCTGCATTGTTTGAATATGTATGTCACTATGATATTAAATTTACCAGTTTTATTTCTGCTTCGCTGATTCGTTTAATATAAATAGAAACACATACAGTAGCGTTTTACGATTTCTCATTGAAATGAAATTAGCATTGACTCATTGTGACGTCACTTTCGTGTTTACCTTATCAACTTAATATTAATGAGATATCGTATAAAAATCATTCATATATTTACCTTCTCGCAACCGCTTGCTCTCAGGATAGACGAAATATTCTGCACATCGCTTCTTGCCATTTTTTGGTGAAGAACTCGTATCGTTGATTACATGTGCTTCTTTCATTTCGCAGTCAGTATTGTATACGTTTTCTGAATTCTTAGTTTCTTGATAGCCGTAGTAGCAGCTTTTAGATATGTGAACGTTATGGCAATGACCCATTAATTGATTAGTAGTATCACTGCAAACTGGAGCAGGTCGCATGGCGTTGAAATTATTTTTGGCATCTTGCATGTGAAATAAGTCGATGCTACTGGCTGGCATTGCTGGTTTGCAAATTTGAGTAATTGTATTCAACGAATATCTTTTTGTATTATGATGTTAATGTTTTCTAGCTTTTTGTTTGAAACTTTAGTAACCACTTTGAACACTGCAACTTGCTGGAACTTATTATTGAAAAATTGATCGAAAACTTTGAAACGTCAAATCTTATATGTAAATAATCGGCAATTGTAAAGGTTAAAATGAACACAAGTTAATGCTTGATGTCTTAAGTTTAATATTATTTTATTTTCTAACTTCTAACCTAATTATTTCATCAAGCCAAATCACAGCAAAGAATAACAAGTCATAGAGAAAGATGACCATAAACACCGGAACTCCACACGCACAGTTCCGGTTCCGGTCTCCTTAAAATCGCAACGACGAGTTTTTCATCTATTTCCTCTAAAACATTTCTCAAACAACATGACTCATGCCTGTAACCTAGAGGGTAGGCAGAGACTACAGACATCCATTGGCGCGGTGCTGATACAACTCTCTCGCTTCTACATTCATACACCTAGGCACGCATTACACTATACTCACACGCACATCGATTTCAGATGCTCTAAATACCGCCCTTTTAGGTATTTTATCGTTGCAAAACAAATAATAATAATAACAAAATGAAATGCGAAAAGGAACATATCAAGGTAGCCGAACACCAAACTGAAGATTGGAAAGCATAATATTTTCATGAGGCAAGCCGTGACTCTTTGCTGCTTTTGACATTGACAACGACAAATGTTCATGTTTGTTATTATTCTAGGTTATGATGGATCTTCTATGTGTTTATTTTATCGATAGGTCTAGTAAATTTTAGTTAATCACTTGATTATTAGAACTCTTAAGCTCCTGAATCTACCATCAACGTAATTGTGATATATGTTGTGTTTATATCAAAGAAAAAATATACGTTTAGCATGAGAAGTCCATCAGCCTGGATTTATTAAATTACTGTTTATTGCCGTGTAAATTGCATTTATAAGAAATGGCTGAAATTTACAAGTTTGTTACTTTGTTTTGAATTTATTTAAATAGCCACAACTATATCTTATTGTTTTCTCAACGTATTATAATTTACAGAGTCATACACCCTGTAAGATATTTCACTTCTTATATTGAGCGAAATGTTCGACCCGATGGAAGAAAATTCGATGAACATCGTAATATAAAACTTAATATCAACACAATAAAGTCAGCTGAAACAAGTGCACTAGTTAAATATGGAAATACAACTGTTATTTGTGGGACAAAATTGGTAATAAAAATAAGAGTAATCTATGTTTTATCAAAAATGACACTCCAATATTATAATATACTGTTAAAAAATTTCAGGAATTAGCTGCACCAAAAGCTGAAGACCCAGATTCAGGGTTTTTAGTAACAAATGTGGAATTGGTACCATTGTGCTCACCAAAGTTCAGGCCAGGACCACCATCAGATCATGCACAAGTCATTAGTAATGTTGTATCTGAAATAATTAATAATTCAAAGTTTATTAACTTAAAAGATTTATGCATTGTATCGGACAAACTTGCTTGGGTACTGTATTGTGACATTGTTTGTCTAGATAATGATGGAAATGTTGTAGATGCTTGCATAACAGCTTTAACTGCAAGTCTAAAAACATGTAAGAATTGTTTTCAATATTTTTACAAATCATTTATGTAGTTGTAATCTTATAAATGCAAATCTTTGGATGGAAGGCTGTTTATTGGAAGGTACCTTCAGACAAGTTTAGCGGATCATATTGTAATTTGCCATAGACATAGAACATAGTCTGGAAGAACACAGGGTAACTTATTGAGTTTTTTTTGCAGATGGAGTTATAGGGATATGCTATTATTTTATATTTTTTGTCAATGCTTTTCTTCTGATTTGATTCTGATAAAAACAGTTTAAATTTTAGTGTCACTACCAACTGTAACATATGATCCAGAAACAGAAGAAATCAAAGTTGATACTAACAACAGGATATCCTTGAAAGTAAATGGTTTACCAGTTGCTACAAGTTTTGCAATATTTCCCAATTGCGAAAGGTTGGTAATTTCCTTTTAGCAACTAAAATTGTTAAAATTTTTATGTTCCCTAATATCCTTAATATTCTAATACTTGTTCCAAATTGCAGGAGTATATTATTAACAGACCCAAATACTTTTGAAGAAGAGATGTGTGGTGGTAATGGTGCTAACATTACAGTTTCTTGGAACAATGGATTCCTATGTGGAATACTGAAATCTGGAGGTGGTACACTTTCAATTGAACAAGAAAAGGAGGCTATAAAAATGGCAAAGGAAAGAACACAGCTTGTTGAAAAACTGATAGATACATGTATTTTAAAAAAAGATGAATAAGAGTAATTTTTTAATAATTAAATAAAAAATAGTGACGAAAGTAATTGTTTTTTTTTTTTAAATTGAATGCTAACTTAAAAGGGGGAAGTTAATATCTGTAAGTCTATAACTCTATAATACAGAACTACTGTACTGAGTTGTGATAAATGCATTCTATTGAGTCTTTGTCATGCGAAAATAGGTGCGTATCTTAATGTTCGGAACTCTCTCGAGAACTGACCGGTAGTTTATCAAACAGGATTGCTTAAAAACTTCATCTTAATGATATTTTAAATGCAAATATTTGGATTGATGGAGATGTAGAACATAGTCTGGAAGAACACAAAGTTAAGCTACTAATTAAGTTCTTTTTTTTAATTTAGTGTGGACTTATAAATATCTGAGTTATTACGACTACTTGCAACGATTTTACCAGATTTTACGTAAAGAAGATGTGATGGCAATGTTCTGTCATTTGACATTGACATGTCAACACTCATTCAAAATGTCACCACGTCTCAAAATATCAAAATATGTTATTGAGGTAAATTCTTAAATTTATGTTTTTTAACATATAGTTTTATCAATTCATTTAGATTACCTTAACTACTATGAAAAACCTTATAATTAAATTCCGAAATATTTGTACAAATGTGTTTTTCATCTCATACGTCATCAAAGAGTCTGCTTAGCCGGAGGGTGATGCACATAATTTATCATAATTAAGAATATCAATGCGTAATATTACCTGGGTGTGTTACATATGATTTCAGAGGTTGTCTCAAATAGATACAGAGGAGAGCACAGGATGTTTGTATGGGCTTATGTACGATGGTATCCTACTTGTCGTAGGACTGAGTTTAGAATTGTTTGAAAAAGAAAAGAACACATATAACCAATTGCTACTAAATTTGCCAGCCGAGATAGAACTTTGTGGTGTCATTAAATTTAGTGACTGCTTAACTATAGAAAATAAAACAAAAGAAATACTGCAAGTAAGTTACATTTCTAATTATTTACAGAATTTTTGTCAGGAATTAAAAATATTTCGAAGTTCTCTAAGCTATAGTAAGATCATGAATTTTATGTTTACTGTACCATACGGTTAATTTTGTGAAAAGTACCAAACAATTTAACTTTTTTTTAGGATGTAGATATAACAGACAATCCCCTTGTTATTATTATAAGCCAAGAGAAAGATATAAAAGCTCATTTTTTAGTACATGACAAGTTTGAGGAGACAAGCTATGAGGTCATGGAAAAGGATGAACTGTGGAAACAGTTTCTTCATGTACGCCTGAATACTATATTGCCACTTACATGTGAGGCAACTATAGCTGGTGTCAAGAATATACTACAAAATAAAAGAAAAAAGGTAAACTTTATCTACCATACAAAAGAAATGATGACATAATAACATACTAAGTCTCTATATTAAATTCGAATTTCTCACATCTGTATTTATTAAAAAACTTTTAATTACTATTGTGCCTAATATATCCCTTAAAGTGTGCCTTTAAGGTGGTATCTAAGATAAAGCTTTCTTTTATTGGTTTGGTATATTTATTGTAACAAGATATATTAAAGAAAACTAATTTATTTCAGATAGCGTCTGGTCAAGTATCATTCCACATAGATGGTACAGCTGTATATCTGTTTGGCATAGCGTCAGATGTTGGGGTAACTGGTACAAGCACTGAGGCAAATATTGGAGAACTGATAGACTCCATGAGCGCAGAGCAACCATCTAAAAAGAAGAAAGTTAATATACATTCTTTGGTATGTGTTACTTGTAATATCTACCTTACATATACTTCTTTTCCAGTATAAGATTAAAGTAGTAGGATAGTAAAATAGTAACGAACATCAAAGTGCTACTGTCCTACTGCACTGGCATAGTGTAAACCACTCATTATTCCACAATTTGATCAAACCAAATTAATAATGAAAATCATTATAATAATCAATTCTTATGGTTCTTTTTTTTAGGATATAGTTCCTGTGAATTTAGTTATGAAAACAACAAAGGATATTTTATCTGATAAGCTAGTAAAAACTGCTGTTAAGATGATGACTACACAAAGAAAACGTAAGGGTAAATTGCATGGTTACATTTTTAATTTTTTATAGATAAATTAACTATCGCAATTATCATTTTTACATTTTTTTTCTATGCATGTTCACATTCGTTATAGGAAAACCAATATTTGAAACAAAGTTTTAAAAGTTTGAAAAGTTTAGTTACTGTTAAAGGAGTTTGGTTGTGCTAATTTCGGCGGGAGCACACCTATATTCCAAAATTAAATTGTATTTTAATTAACAAATGTCTTTCAGCTGCATTTTGCATCAGTATGCCGTTGAAAGTGGATACATTGGCGATGATACACCGTAACACAAAGTTGTCAGAGCTGTACACAGTATTGGTGGAAGCAGCGTGTCGCTCGCTAAGATTGTTAGAGAGTGTTCTGCTTGAACAACTAGGTATGGAAATAAAGTTAACTTATTGCAATTTAAGTTAAGGCTAATCATAACAAATAACTGCGCATATCAGAAAAAAAAAGTATGAAAGCATGCTATAATATAATTTTTTTAAAGCGTCAACTAGAGAGATTGAAAATTGTTGTAAAGGAAACAAGTGCAGTCCAACCTGGATAAGTAAAAGTCCAGTTTATGGAAGTCTATAATCTTTAGCTTACTATCTTTAAGAGTACTTTATTTTACCTATTATACTATAACAGGTCAAGAAGGTATCGGTGATGGAGCTGGGTTACGTTTGCCTGAAACATTCCATTATTTACCTGAACAGCTTGGACATTTCTTAACTCGAGTTGTTCCAAAAGCTATACCAGATGAGAGCATGGGTAAGCCTATTATAATATCTATGATTTAAATTTGGTATGTCAGGAATAAGAGCAGTTTACCATAGTTAGTGTTTATATAACAAGCATATATTATATTTGGTTTTGCTTTTAGAACGTGAGAGAATACAATTACATGAGCAATTAGCTCTACCGACTGACAAGCCTATGTTCCGACGAGGTAATGCGTACACAACGTACGGTGGTCGACTCGTTAACCCCCACGAAGCCCTGCCGTTACCATCTTCTGGTCCGAATGTGACAGTGGCATTAGTAAGAGGCCGGTACACCTACCATCATTATATGCAGGACAACTTCAATGATGACGGATGGGGTTGTGCCTATCGTTCTATGCAGACGATTTTTTCATGGTTTAGGTAAAATAATTTTAAATCCTATATTTAATTTAATTAAAAGTTAGTATAATTTACTTATTAAATTTAAAAACTTAAGTTTTTATCGTCGATGTTATTAACGTTAACAATTTTTTCAGTGTTGCAAATTAAATTCATACATAAATGACTAAACATTTGTTAACTTTATTTAAAAAATGCTGAAAAGTTAGTGGAAAAACGGAGGACAAAAATAGATTAAATTAATAAAAAAAATATTTAGATTACTTTTTCGTTTTTTTTAGGTATCAAGGTTATAACACAACCAATATACCGACACATAGAGAGATCCAAGAGTGCCTTGTTAACATTGGTGATAAGCCGACAACATTCATTGGGTCCAGGCAATGGATCGGCTCCACAGAGGTCATGTTCTGTCTGGAGACTCTCCTCGGAGTTCAGTCAAGGATCATATTTGCTAACACTGGAGCAGAGCTGCAGAGTTACACACCAGAGTTGATTCATCATTTCCAGAAGCATGGCAGCCCTATTATGATTGGTGAGTCTTATTATTGTCTTTATAATAAACGATAACAATAAAAGAACAATTGAAAAAAAAAATTCTTTGATTGTTTTATCATATTGGATGGATGTCAAGTGTGACATATAATTTTATAATAAATACTAGCTATCGACCGCGACTCCGGCCGTGCGATTAAAAAATAAATAATACCAGATTCTCAGACCTACTGAATGTGCATATAACATTTCATAACAATTGGTCAAGGTCAGTTTCGGAGCAGTATAGTAACTAACATTGTGACACTAGTATTTTATATATAAGATAGATATATTGCCTCCAAAAGGAAAAGAATCCATTTTTTTAAAGTGTATGAATTATTTCGAGACTGTTTTATTCCAGGGGGTGGAGTATTAGCTCATACAATAATTGGTGTTGAATATAATTCTGAGAAGAACGAAACTCGTTACCTTATTCTTGACCCTCATTACACAGGCGCAGATGACATAACAACTGTGGTAGGTAAGGGCTGGTGCGGATGGAAGACATCAGACTTTTGGAACAAAACCGCTCATTATAATCTCTGTTTGCCACAAACTAGACCTTGTATTTAGGTATAATTATTTAATATGCATTTCTTTTTAATTTATGCTGGAAACAACTTGAGTTTTGTATGTAAAATTTAATGTTGGACAATTTTTTTAATTTTCTTTACTACATTCATAGCTTCTTTGGCTGTCAAGGGTCCAGTTCGTCAACTAAAGTAAAATTTATATATTTTTCCCTCCAATAATGTACTGAAATAGAATATAGTAAAAGAGAATCAGTATATTATATACTTAATTAAAGTGACTTTGGTTATTGAAGTCTGGGATACTGATTTTGAATAAAAACGGTTGTTTGAATATCCGTAAAAATTATATTCAATAGTTCAGAATTATTGCACCATTTATAATTATATGCACTACTTAATAGTATTAACTAAATATAATTGAACTGAAGGAAAATATTGAGTTGCATAATATTAAGTTTATTTAATATGTATTTTAATACTGAGACAACAGAAATGTATAAGTTAAATAAAATTGTTATATTTTATACCGATTAAAAACTATAATTTTAAGTCACGTTTTTTAAATTCTTGGAGCAACCTTTATATAAGGAAACTATAGGGTGTTACAAAAGATATAGAAATAAAAAGATATAAGACTTATTATCTCAAAAACAAAACAACTTAGAAAAATCTACTGTATTGTTCATAAACATGTTATCTCTTAACAGAACAGGAAAAATAGGGTATGAATAATAAAAATAATCAAGCTCATTTATTTTATTTACACCAATCTGTACACAAAAGGTACACCCTTACTTCTTAAACATACCATTATATACAACAAAATCACAGAGTTCTAAGTTGAGACGAATCTATAAGCTAAAATATAACACTGGTCATAAATATATGTGCTAAGATTATATGAACATGATATTTCGTAAGAGATGTAACTCTTTTCATCGGATGGGGAAGGTTAAGACAGCTACAATCATTGCAGAATCAAATTAATAATTGTACTTTAAGCGAGCGAGCAGTTAATAATTATGAACGCATATATTATAATTTTGTATAATTTTCAAATACATTTTGACATAATATCGTTCTACGTTCACTAATTTAGCACGTACGTCTTCAAAATACGTTATAACAAACATATCGCCATCCTTTATGTTCTTGTTATAAAAATTGAGATAACAATATGTTTTTGTATAAGTGTTACCGCAGTGTAAACTCATAGTTATATTGTCACATCTGAAACTTCTTATCCAATAGCCTAAAAGGCACATTTCCTAATCTCTTTCTATCACATTCAATATAGAAATCAAGGCTTTTAAGCGGGTACAGTAATACCCCTTGACGGGCAAAATTCATCGCTTAAGTGCCGCCAACGTAGTTTTCAACGTTAAAAAAAGCGGCCGTGCGTATACGTTCTAATAATAAGAAATTAGTGTAAACTGAAAAATTATCTAGATAAGTAATTAACTACTGTTATTTTCATAAAAAAATTACAGTGTTAATATATTTTTTTGTACTTTAATAAAATAAAAGAATTATGCATTTTATAATAGTAAAAGTCAAATTTAATAACAAATATGAATAATATTGCTATATATTTTTTATAGTTATCGGTTAAAATTCACAAAGTAAAACTTAAATAATAACTATTGTGTATATGGTGGCTTACAAATTATATCTCAACAATAAAAAATAAGTTAATTAAATAAAAAAAAAACAAGAAGAGTGGAGTTTGGTTATAGATCACGTATTGTATTAGAGAATCTCCAAATCGCAATGTCGTATTTGTGGAAACTTTTTCTGTAAAAGAAAAACGATAATTTAAAAAAATAGCTGAAAACAAGTTTTATTCTTAATTAGTGTAAATAAAAAAATTACCCTTAATTTTAACTCTATCCTGTCAATCTCTCCGCCCAACATGTCCACAATATTCTCGCCATGTTTTAGAAGGAATGCTTCTACATTGTCTATGGTCTCGATTTTCCTTATGTCCTGATAAGGATATTTCTTTTAAATCGTGTGCAAATTAATATCATAATTTAGAATAAAATAATGTAATCAATTTACCTCTAACAATGCATTTAAATCGTGTTTCTCTAAATACGATCGCGTCAACGCTCTACCGTCGAAATCAACTTCGGCCTACAAAATTTATTAACATTTAACGTTATTATATAAATTATTAACATTTTAAACAAAATACAATAAATTATGAAATACATAGCGAATAAAAGATAATGCAAGATAATTGCGATAACAAAAAAATAGTTCAATCTCAAATGGAGGTAACAATATTTTATTACATGTGTTTTATATAAGTTTATATACAAGCAGTTTTATATAAGAATGTATAAGGAGAAATACTTACTTTGTATCTTATCAAGTTGCTACCTATATCTATACCCTTCACGTCATGAATCGCTCTAATCATAAAATCCCTTTCCAGTACACTGTTTATTTCATCTAACTGTTCCTGTGGAATGGATCTGAAATAAAAAATAACAATGTAATTGCTATAACTTTTATACAATTACTAGCTGTTGCCCGTGACTCGGTACGCGCAGAATTAAAAATAAACTTAAGAAGTAGCCTGCGTTCTTTCAGACTATGTTCAACATCTGTGCCTAATTTCATCAAGATCTTTTGAGCCGTTCCCGAGATACCTTATAACAAACATCCATACATTCAAACATTCGCATTTATAATAGTTAGAAGTAAGATAATTAATATTGTTTAATACAACAATAGAAGTTTTTGCATCATTAATATAAATTAAGTAGTAAAAGTTAACACTTTACCTGCCAACGAGTGCTCCAACATTGCTCAATATAATGAAGGAGGCGACACCACCCAGTATAGTGCCTACCAGTATGCTTCCGACAGCGTCAAACAGTGGGTTACCGGTGTACTGAGAGACAGCCATGCAACTTGCTGCCACTACAACACCCGCGACTGCCGCTGTGTCTTCTAATAACACTACATTCACAGATGGGTCTGAACTCCTCAGAACTGTAAATCAAATTTTTTAATTAGTAAAATACTAGCTGTCGCCCGCAACTTTGCCCGCGTTAAATTATAAAAAAATCTAATAAGTATTGTGTAAGTGTGTTCTTCCAGACTGTTTAACATCTATGCCAAATTTGAGCCAGATCCATACAGCAATTTGGTGCCATTAGAAATGACAAAAGTAGGTAAAAGTGCAACACATTACATGCCATTTTACCCTGTGATTTTACTTTTAGACACGAATATTGTAGTAGCATTTAATGTGTTGATTATACTTTTTTATAAAACAGACAAAAGACATATTAAAAACTCTTACCATATTCTCTTAAAGACATATTAGCTTCTTTAGCACCTTTTCTTATTGCACTTAAAGCAACCATGAGAGTTGCACCTTCTGATACTACAGCTCCACCGAGGACGAAATAAGCCTATGAAAATGTGGATTAAAAACCTTGATACTTGATAAATCTGAATTTAAAATCTTGATCGGACATATAATTTAAATTAACATTACCCAGAAAAAGTCATGAAGTGGCTGTGGATCCAATATGCCCACTACTCCGTGGTAAAATGACAAGCCACTTCCCACACAGAATATTCCCACTCCGGAGATGAGAGAGGAAACATATCTCATATTTGTATAACCATATGGGTGGTCTGGATCTGCTATCTGAAATGTAAAATGAAACATTGGTTTATTTAATAACTAGCTAACGCCCGTGACTTCGCCCGGGATTCATGGTTCCAGAGATACCTTCTAACAAACATCCATCCAACTAATCTTTTGCATTTATAACATTAGTAACGGGTTGGTTCAATGAATATGTTAAAAAAATCTTGAAAATTAAATTTAACTTTCATTTATCCTCTAACAATGGAAAATTAATTAAATTGAATTAATATATACATACTTGAACAGATTTGTGTATTCCATAAGCCAGTATCAGTTGATTAACAGTGTCTGCAAGGGAATGTATGCATTCTGAGAACAGGCTGTGTGAACCCGTGTAGAACCAAGCGCAGAGTTTAAACAGAAAGTTACATCCATTTCTGTAAAAATTATATTACAACTATAAAATCTTTTAATAATTATTACACTATTGTACTACTGCAAATGTGAATTTTTATGTTGTAAAAATTACCAATAGAAAAAAAAATCTTAAAATTTAGGCTATCCAGTTACAAGTATATGCAAATTATATTGCTATTATTTAATGGTCTTTATACACATTTTTTTTCAGGGCAACTATATTTTTTTTGAAATGGTTGAGCCATTACCACTTGCTGGGCAGCAATTACTCATTGAAATAGCATTTACAGGCTGATTAATAAAGTGTAACCAATTCCTACAAGACATGTAACTTACATTCCTATCGCAGTGAGGACAACTCTACCAGATCTTGTCTTTAAACCCAATTCCTCTGCTTGTTTTAATCGCTTATCACTCATTTCTCTTCTATAATTACGTAATCGTCGTTTAACAGTGAAAACATCTGAAATTAAGAATATTATGATTCTAAATCTGCTTAGTAATAAACAAAATGTAAAGATAAATTATATGATAGTTTTTGATACCTTGTTCATATCTTCTTCTGTCTAGTTCTCTTCGCAATAATTCTTTCTCCAATACTTCTCTTGACCCCCACACCTATTATATAAGCCAAATTTGTTGAAATTTTTGTATAAATCTTAGTGGCATTGAATGTATTAAATGTTACTAACCTCAATAGCCTTTGCTTCAACATCTTTACGATAGTGGACAGTTATAGGTGGTTCAGATTCATATGGTGATCTTCGAAGCACCTTTGGTAATGATTCTAAATCAGATTGCTTTAACAAATACTCAGTCATTGCACGCATTGGTGTTATAAAGTTACGTTCAGTATATGACGCCGAAAAATCAATCAATAGCCTTTTCTTGACTAAAACAAAAATAATATAATAATTCTTTGTCATAAAACACATTATAATGGAACTAAATTTTGCTTAATAATGTTTACCTTGAGGAGCAATTTCTTCTTTAGTTGTTGAAGCAGCCTTTTGCGGTTTTTCAATAGTGACTTTTGTAACAACTTTATTTTCATCTGTTTCAGTCTTAACAACAATTTCTCTCACACCTTTACTTAACTTGTCTTCCGTCTCTGGATCTTTATTTTTAACATTTACAGATCCACTTTTATCCAAAATATAAGTTGAAGTCTTCAAATGCCGATAGATTACATTTTTCATAACGTGACTAATATTGCCAGTTTGTTGTAAATGTCCACGATTTCCAATGCACATGTATCTTACATTTAACATACGAAAACATTTTTTACCAACTTTTCTATAAATAAGAGTACTCGCAGAAAGCAACATCTCTACAAAATTAAAATTATATGTAAATTTAGTTAGTAGGTACTCTTTTACTTTTAATTTATGTTCTAGGAAATGAGTGTAATAAGGCTCATTGTTTTATAAAACAAAATTATGGTCGTAAGCGTACTACATATGGAATCTGTTCAAAATTCGCAATAACTTAGAAACTATCAGAAACTAGGGTAATTCTCAATTTTACATACAAATTACAATACAAATCTCATACTATGACGGTTATTGTCAGTGTCATATGTCATTTTGTAAATATGTTGTTGTTTTTATTATTCACTCGAAAGAGCAGGCAAAGGAACTAAGCCATACAGCCTTGTCTTTTTTATTTTGAATATAGAGAATTTTATAATGTATAGGCCGCAGCCAAGTCTTATTTTTCTTCCTCCATTTTTCAATCTTTGTAAATATGAAGTTGACATACATTTTGGCATAGATTAAATATCGCATAATGTTAAAAAGAAACAGTTCATAATCCCGTATTTTATAAATCTCTCCTTTTTGATAAAAAAAATATCATCAGTAGTTCCAATGTAATGAAAAATACTTTTACAAACAATTTTATATCATCAAAACAATTAAAACCTCAGGACATTTGTAACAAGAAAACTTTAATATAAGGCTAAGGTTTGCGGATCTTGGAGCCAAATTTAATGTCAAAATAGTTTGAAGGGAGTTGATGACAGTTAATTTTGACAGTTCTTTTCGTTTCGGCGAGTGTCTGTAGAGGTGTGTTTATATATGAAAATCTTAACAAATCATAATAATTGCAATTCTAAATAGTTATTTATCTTTAAATATCTGAACAGTGATATATGGTGTATTGAAAAATCAAGTGATTTTTAAAGTTTCTCTTTGTAATTTCAGATCACAATGGCAAAACCTAAGGGGGAAAGGAAGGGTAAATCCGCTATTAACGAAGTTGTTACACGTGAATACACTGTGAATTTACATAAACGTCTTCATGGAGTTGGTTTTAAGAAACGGGCTCCACGAGCAATCAAGGAAATTCGCAAATTTGCCGAAAAACAAATGGGTACCCCTGATGTTCGTGTGGACACTCGTTTAAACAAATTTCTATGGTCTAAGGGTGTAAGGTTAGTTGATTTTACAATTTGATTTATTTAAACTATGAGATACTACGGTTTTTTTTATGGAAAACGTAACTAAATAGACTATAAACATATACCATAAACAGGTTAACTTACTATGCCAGTGTACGAATATCTTAAATTGTTTATTATTTATTAGATTAACACAAACGCTCCTTATAGCATAATTGAACCACATTGTAGAAAAGTATCTAAATAGAAGCGCAGACTTTTTTACTGAAGTAAGATATAAAAACAAAGAATTCTGAATAGTTTTATAATTCTTTATTATTGAACTCATATTAATAATAAAAGGGTTTATGGTATTATAGATAGATTTTTCATTATTATACAAAAATTAAGACACTTGTGCTTGAAATTTGAACTTTTTGAACATTGTGATGACTGGCACTGAAAACAAAGATATCAAAGACATCTGCTGTTTGCTTTGGCAGGATCAATTCACCCAATTTTATACTTGTTGACACATTTATAATTATATTTTTCATGCAAACTAAACATGCAAACAATGCACTTTATTATTTTAAAGGATATTCTGTTAGTGATTTTAAGTAACTTGTTTCATTATCTAATATCTTAAGCTTGCTAAAAGTTAAGCATAAACTTAATTTAAATTTTATAATTTTCAGAAATGTCCCCTTCCGTGTCCGTGTCAGGCTGTCGCGTAGACGCAATGATGATGAGGACTCTGCACACAAACTGTTCACACTTGTGACTTATGTGCCAGTCGCCTCAATCAAGGGCTTGCAGACAGAGAATGTTGACGCTAGCCAAGAATAAATCTTAATATAAGGATACTTATGTGTTTTATTTGTAAACAGTATGTTATAATTTTTCAGACATTTTAATTTTTGTTTGATAAAGAAATACTATTAAGTTATACTAGCCATATTTTTGTTATTCTCGATTTCTTTAGGAGAACAGGGATACTAGTTTTTGCTCTCTGGATGTTTTGGCAGTTGAAAATATCATTCTTTTTTTTTATATCTTAAGGTGGCAAACGAGCGAGCGGCCACCTGAAATGCTGAAATAGCAAAGTGACCGTTGCCCATAGACTTACACAATTGCATAAACGTTGCCTACCTTTAGTCGATAGAGGAGAGGATGCACAGAAAGAAAATATTTTCCCTTTCCATACATCCTCTCATCCGGAAAGTCCACTTCCACTTCTCATCCTTTTCTTATAAGAAAAAGGGTGGGAAGGGAAAGAGGACTAATTTTGGCCTCCGGGACGCACACTCATCAGACGAAACGCGGAATCGCTTCCACTTCACGCCTGTCTTCTGTGTGGTCGTGGTATTTCACTCAAGAATGGCTTTATGGATATGGCTGAAAATTGGTGAGAAGGTAGCTTAGAGCCAGGAGACGGACATAGGATACTATTTATTCATTTTTTCCGAATTTATGCCTTGAAGAGCTGCTTTTTATTTAACTTGCTAGTATTATAAATGCGAATTTTTAGATGGATGTCATGTGGATGGATGGGTGGGCTACATTAATTAACTTTTTTTTATATATATCCCCTCGGACGGAGTTGTAGGCGGCAGCTAGTATAGTATAAAAGGTGATAACTATTCTTAGTATGTGTGCTAGAAAGCAATAAATAATTACTCTTTTATACATATCTAGTAGTATTTAATATAATTTATTTCCTCTTAACCATTTTAGAACCATGTAAAATTTCTACTATAATAAAAACTATGACATTTTGTATTGAATTTTTTTTTTATGTATTACAAAGAATAGAAGAATAGGGAAAGTAATTCATTCATGATTTTTTTTATAAAGAATAGAGGCAAAATGCATAATACTAATGAATTAGTTGGTTTGTTTTTCATGATGCTAAGTCCATGTTGATGTGTGCGATAAAAAGCTTAAGCAAACTTACAAGTTAGGAATTCTCAAGCCTTTGATTACAATGGGTTAAATATGTTAAATATAGAATATATAATAAACCCTGCAGTATAAGTCGATTCCTATTGTGTCCTAGTATTTTACAGTAATTAAAACCATATTGTTATTATTTTAATTTGCCTATAATATTGATATGAAAGTAAAGATTTTAGACCTCCGGGAGGTAATGTCATACATATTTTAAACGGACCCGCCCTCCTCACAGAAAGACGTAATTTACAGGGTCGCGTGGAGAAGAGAGCCCGATTTATAGTCCGACAATTGGGACGGGCTTTTAAATGAACACTGCAGCGATTTGCCGTTGTTACCATGATTTATGTCTTTTACGTGTGCTACAAATTTGAAAGCAAAATTTTAAATATGAATATTATTTTATATAATTTATAAAAGCCTTTCTCTCTCTTAAGATCTCTATCAAGAAATCTCTGAAGTTCATATATCGGGGAAGCGGAAGTTTTTTGAAACTGCTGTAAAAAAGAGTGATTAAACAATTTGGCCTTTATACTATCATTTTGAGAACTACATCGTTTTTTTTGTGTAATTTCTCCAATCAGGCGACATTTCTGCAAGGAAGTAAACGCCGTATCTTTGATTATGTTCACCGGTGGGCCGTGAATGTTTTAGGTTGGTTCTATTTATTCAGGACCTGCCTTGTGGCGTTTGGACTAACAATAATATTGTATTGTTTATTTAGGGTCGTCATTACACGTGCGGTACAAGAAATATACAAGTAGGTACATACGTTTATTGATATTGTTTTGATCGTAATTGACATACTGATTTGAAATAGACAGTTGAATTATAGAGTTCGCCCTTCTACTGGAAAAGTTTATCAAAACGGACGCAAATAGTCAATCGATCGATATGAGTTAAAAAATAAAGAAGTAACATTCAAAATATAAAGTGTTCTTTGGCATAACGCGTATGTGGATTTATACATGTAAATTGATTAAAACAATAAATGAAATTCTGTGTTTTCCAGTAATCCGCTATTACATTTTTAATCCACAACATTGGTTTAAATTTAAAGCTTATCATGAAAGGTTTTCCAATCCCATATTAACTCGACGTGTGATAATGTCAATTATTATGCAAAATGACAATTCAATATTGCTTTTCATTGACATGATTGTGGTAAATGGGTGGGAAACTTGCATTTTGATTTACCTTCTGTTAAATCATGCTGTTGTATTACGTATAATGGGGTGGATACGACTTCTAAAAATATTAGTAGTAAAAATACATTTCTGCTTCTTTTTGATTTTTTTTACATAAATACGAACGAAGTCGGTGTCCAAATGTCTTATGACGAGCAACCCTGGAAGTCGTGGATAATAGTATTAAACAAATGTACAGATAAATAAATTTAATTAGTTCTAAAGAAAAGAGCTTAACTGTCGTTAAAGTAAATATTTTAATAAGAGTGCGCGTTTCCAAAACAGTTTCTAGTAAAATGTTTTTAAAGATCGACTTTGTAAAGTATCTCGAGAAGTTAAATCGTAAACGACGGTCCATTGAGATAGCATTTGAATAGTTTGCGGCGTGATGTTTACGACGCGCCGCCGTCGCTGTTCAATACAATTTATCGTAAAAATATATTATTCACTGGGGAATTTTTCAATGACCTGTACGACCTAGGAGACCTAGAAGTATGTACTATGAAACATAAACACCGCAATAATGTACACTATTTTAGTGTAAGACTCTCCTGAAAATTAAAAATATGCAAAGGAGCCATTGATCTATCAATTTATTGAACGTCACATTAACGCAACATATTTTATCGTAGTTATACTTTATTCGGACTACGGATGACACTGAATATACCAAAGAGATAAAAAGAAGATTGATTAGTATAAAGCGTTTAAATTCATGACCTTAATTATAAATGTCGTGCAAATAAACGAATATTAAGCCAGAAAACAAAATGTAACTATATACGTGTCTACAAAGTTAAGTAAAAAATAGAAAGTTTATTTTACTAAAAATCTATACTATAACTGTTTTTCTCATGTTTCGGAATATAGTAACCGCAAGCGCTCACAAAATAAATCGACCAGAGCAATGGAAAACTTCAATTTGCAGTAAACATTAATTTGGGCCAGGCCCTATGTTCTCACGTAATCACATTTTATTATAGGAACTTCCCAAAAAACCTCGGTGACGTATAAAAAAGATTCAAGCCAAAATATA